TTTTAAGAAGTAAAACATGTAGGCCTACCCTTTACCATTTGCTGGAAGCTCTTTTCTTCTTCGTTCTTAATTTTAGTGTTGGTAAGGATTTCCTCCAACACAATGATGATTACTTGTCAACTTGTTATGCGCCATAACATCCTGCTTTTTAACACGTTTTTAACACGTTTTTCTTAACTCAGCTTCGCGTTTGTTTGTTTGTTTGTTTGTTTGTTGTTAAAATTGACATCGAAAATTAGCCCACTTCTGATTGCTCTAGAGATCTGAAATTTGGCATGCAGGCTACTTTCGCCTAACAATTTCAGATGCAATCATAAAAACTAGCAATTAGAGACCGTAATTAGCTTAATTTAATTACGCCCCAAGGACCATACAATTGAGGACATGATTTCTAAAGATACCGACAAGACTGGAGGCCTATTGACACAGTTACTTCGGCCCCAATCTATGTGAGCGCGCTGGCCGTGATCGTATAGTGGTTAGTACTTCGCGTTGTGGCCGCGACAACCGAGGTTCGAATCCTGGTCGCTCAAGATTTTTAGTCCGTGTATTTATAAACACTTAGTCAAGTCATACTTAATCAAGTCATTAGAAAAAGTAGAAAATAAACTATATAAAAAACTTTTTTAAAAACCACGTTTTTCATGTGTAGCAACGGACTAAAAAGGAGAAAATAAAATACTTAAAAAAAAACTTTTTAAAAAACCACGTTTTTCTTGTGGACTAAAAAGTAGAGAAAAAATTTTTCTTTTGTGCTTCCTCGAGCTGTGCAGGTTCTTGTGATGACTGACAAAAAACGTGGGTCGGGCAGATGGGTCGGGAAATTTGATGGTGAACGCACCCACGTTTTTTGTCAGTCATCACAAGAACCTGCACAGCTCGAGGAAGCACAAAAGAAAAATTTATTTTCAACTTTTTAGTCCACAAGAAAAACGTGGTTTTTTAAAAAGTTTTTTTTTAAGTATTTTATTCTTAACTCAGCTTCGCGTTTGTGGATGTGTGGATTTGTTTGTTGTTAAAATTGACATCGAAAATTAGCCCACTTCTGATTGCTCTAGAGACCTGAAATTTGGCATGCATGCTACTTTCGCCTAACAATTTCAGATGCAATCATAAAAACTAGCAATTAGAGACCGTAATTAGCTTAATTTAATTACGCCCAAAGGACCATAAAATTGAGGACATGATTTCTAAAGATACCGACAAGACTGGAGGCTTGTTGACACAGTTACTTCGGCCCCAATCGATGTGAGCGCGCTGGCCGTGATCGTATAGTGGTTAGTACTTCGCGTTGTGGCCGCGACAACCCAGGTTCGAATCCTGGTCGCTCAAGATTTTTTTAGTCCGTGTATTTATAAACACTTAGTCAATTCATACTTAATCAAGTCATTAGATAAAGTAGAAAATAAACTATATAAAAAACTTTTTTAAAAACCACGTTTTTCATGTGTAGCAACGGACTAAAAAGGAGAAAATAAAATACTTAAAAAAAACTTTTTAAAAAACCACGTTTTTCTTGTGGACTAAATAGTAGAAAATAACTATTTACATACATTTGATGACAAAAAACGTGGGTCGGGCAGATGGGTCGGGAAATTTGATGGTGAACGTACCCACGTTTTTTGTCATCAAATGTATGTAAATAGTTATTTTCTACTTTTTAGTCCACAAGAAAAACGTGGTTTTTTAAAAAGTTTTTTTTAAGTATTTTTTCTTTTTGGATTTGCTTCCATTGCCTATGTCCAACCAAGAACAAACTACAAGGTAGAAGTTGTTTGATTTTGGAGTTGTCTCTCCTAGAAAAGTTGCTGTCCCCAGCTCTTGCGCTTCATCTGCCCGGGGATTTGAACTCGGGGCTTTTCGGTGCAGCGACCATGAGCTTAACCGACTCGACCACGCCGACCAATAGGTTACGATTGTCTTCTTGCCCACGACATCACGGGTTATAAAAAGTAAATAAAAGCATCGGCTACTAAACTTCTGCCTTGATAACAAAAGTAAAAAATTTTTGGGCTAAAATAATCAGATAAAAAATAGGCCACAATCCTACTTGTACATGTCCCTCTCTGCTTTCACGTATCTAGGCGTATGCAACACATTTGAAGGTTTCCAAATCTTCTTTCTTCTTCGTTCTTAATTTTAGTGTGAAGGGTCCCCTCCAACGTCTCAAATGGTTATGCGCCATTGAGACTATTGACATTTTTTTTACTTTCTTTTTGGATTTGCTGCCATAGCCTAGTCCAACCAAGAACAAACTACAAGGCAGCAGTTGTTTGATTTTGGTGTAGTCTCTAACGAGGGCTCGAACTCGATACTTTTCAGTTTAGCAACCATGAGCTTTACCGCCTTGACCACGCCGAGCCCTTAGTGTCCAAATATAACTGAACAAATGTACCAAGTTTATATTTATCACAATTTAAATTTGTTCTAACCATTGGACAACTTTTAAATTTAAAATTTAAAACCGTGCTTATATATGATTCATGTTCCCCCTTACTAAAAATTGGCTAGGCAGAAGGACCGGAATATTTCTCCCTTCTAGACACAGGATAGACGGAAAGACTTGAATATTCCTCCACCTAGAAACAGGCTAGGCGGAAAGACTTGAATATTCCTCCACCTAGAAACAGGCTAGGCGGAAAGACTTAAATATTCCTCCATCTAGACACAGGCTAGGCGGAAAGACTTAATATTCTCCCGTGTCCTAAATGTTTTTTAATAAGTTGCCAGGCGATAAATCGTGGCGTAATGGACATCTCGATATTTCGGGAGTATGAGTAATGTAGTGTCACGTGTTCTGTGATGCGAGGGGGATTGACAGGGGGGGGGGGGCGACGACAGATTTATTGTCGCTGACCAGTGGACGTAGGGTTCAAGGTCACTGAGTTACCGGACGTTGTAATCGAGGTCACTGACCTACTGGTGACCTATTGGAGGTCAGTGTCGTTTCTGGTTACAACTGGGCACTGCAGTGTTGGCGAGTGAGAAGCTTGACCTTATGCTGTTGTCAGTGGCGTCGCTAGGTCGGGTGTCACCCGGCGCAGCCCGAACCCCTCGCGACGCCTCTGGCTGTAGTCCAGCTACTTGACATTAAACTAACACGGTCACTAAAAGCTGGTGTGTGTGTGTGTGTGTGTGTGTGTGTGTCAGTGGACACTTATCAAACAACAAGAGGTTGCAGTTAAACTAAACAAATGTACTGTATGTTTAGTGCAAGCAGTTGATATTTTTTGTATTTGTTTCGATTGTTTATTTAATTTAGGTTTTCAATTTTAAAAGTGTACCAATGTCGATTTATTCACGATGTCTTATTTTGTTAAAACGGTATAGAAATATACTTAAACATCAACGTAAAAAAAGGAAACGTTCATTCTAAAAAAAAAAAATTCCTCGCGGTTTTTTTATATAGATCTAGATCAAATCCTGGCCTATGTATTTTCAACGATATCTTTGTGAGCGGCCCCTTCTTAAACCATGTCCTATTATTTTTTATTTCAAAGATCCCCCCACCCACCCCCCCCCCCCTCCACAAATGAAGACCCAATAGAACTGAGCAATGAGAAATGAATGAAAAGGAAATAAAATTATTTGATAAAAAAAAACGATATTTTTACAGAGTTGAGCAATCAACGATAAGAGCGTGTGTGACGTCGACGGGTTCGACTAATTATCGTGTTGATGAACCGGAAGGTGGCGCTCTCTCCTTTCTTTATTGGGGGGGGGGGATCTTTAAAATGGAGTGGGGGGGGGGGGGGAGGAAAAAAATACGCCCACGTAATAAGCTGCAAGAATGTTGTCAGTGCTATTGGTACCTTGTCTAATGTTTGACATGTTTTATCAGAGAGTGGTAACCTCTTCCACACAACCCAATCCCTGTAGAGTTTTACATTCCGAGATCTTACATATCACAAACTTCTTGTTGGTATTACCAATGCAAGTGGTGATAATACATTAGTTGGAAAAGTACAACGTCTAGACATGTCTAGCCAGTATGCCTAAACACGTCTAGACATGTCTAGACGAATTGTCTATGTCTAGTCAACAAGTGTAACATGTCTAGTCAGTATGTCTAGAAAACATGTCTAGAAAATATGTCTAGACAAATTGTCTCGCCAGCATGTCTAGTCAACAAGTGTAACATGTCTAGTCAGTATGTCTAGACAACACGTCTAGAAAATATGTCTAGACAAATTGTCTAGCCAACATGTCTAGTCAACAATTGTAGCCAGTTTGTTTCGATAACTTGTCTAGACAAAACGTCTAGACAAATTGTCTAGACATCATGTCTAGTTCACTTGTCTAGATAAATTCACTAGCCAACATATCTAACTAACAACATGTCTAGACAACATATCTATACAACAAGCTGTTAAACAAAATCTATAAATATCACTGCTTACCAGACGGCCAATAAGCAATTGATAAGAACAATTTTAAATTAAAATTAAAATTTTAAATTAAATTAAAAAAAAAATTGCGTATTTTAATGCAATCAACACACACTTACTTAAAACCCTCCTATATATAACATTATATTCCCCTCCCACACTCACATACATAACCAAAGGCAAATCTCTACCCCCCACCCATCCCCCCACATTTGTGTTGAAATGATCCAACTTCACCGACAAACCAATCTAATGCGCATGCGCAGAATGTGTGTGTCCCAACCCGAATCCCATCACAAAACGTCCACTTCCGGTTCCTTAATTGATAGATTTCCCTCGCTCAAGATAGTAACAGGCAAACGATCGTTGGCGTCCGACCCCAAAGGTCCAAGCTTCCTCGGCCGTTTCCTTCGTACAAACTCCGCGTTGTTTAAGCTACGCAAATTGCGCCAGTGAAACACAGGAATGTTAAACTGCGCGGCTGATAAGGGCAGCCCACGGGTTTTTATATTGAAGCTTCTCCACCCACTTTATTTGAGCATTGGGCAACGGGGTTTTCTAGAACAGAGTAGCGTCAAGAACATCTCAAGGTAGAACACAATGCAGGTGTGTTTAAACTTGGAACAGCATGAAACAATGGCGTAGAGCTGGGGTGTAGGGCTGGGGGGTGTAGGGCTGGGGTGTAGGGCTGGGGTGTAGGGCTGGGGTGTAGGGCTGGGGGTGTAGGGATGGGGGTGTAGAGCTGGGTGCATAGGGCTGGGGGCGTAGAGCTGGGGGTGTAGAGCTGGGGGCGTAGGGCTGGGGGCGTAGGGATGAGGGTGTAGGGATGAGGGTGTAGGGATGAGGGTGTAGGGATGGGGGTGTAGGGATGGGGGTGTAGGGCTGGGGGTGTAGGGCTGGGGGTGTAGGGCTGGGGGTGTAGGGCTGGGTGTAGGGCTGGGGGTGTAGGGCTGGGGGGTGTAGGGATGGGGGGTGTAGGGCTGGGGTGTAGGGCTGGGGTGTAGGGCTGGGGGTGTAGGGATGGGGGTGTAGGACTGGAGGTTTAGGGCTGGGGTGTAGGGCTGGGGTGTAGGGCTGGGGTGTAGGGCTGGGGTGTAGGGCTGGGGGCGTAGAGCTGGGGGTGTAGAGCTGGGGGCGTAGGGCTGGAGGCGAAGGGCTGGAGGCGTAGGGATGAGGGTGTAGGGATGAGGGTGTAGGGCTGGGGGTGTAGGGATGGGGCGTAGGGATGGGGGTGTAGGGCTGGGGTGTAGGGCTGGGGGTGTAGGGATGAGGGTGTAGGGATGGGGGTGTAGGGATGGGGGTGTAGGGCTGGGGGCGTAGGGCTGGGGTGTAGGCCTGGGGGTGTAGGGATGGGGGTGTAGGGATGGGGGTGTAGGGCTGGGGGTGTAGGGCTGGGGGTGTAGGGCTGGGTGTAGGGTTGGGTGTAGGGTTGGGGTGTAGGGCTGGGGTGTAGGGCTGGGGTGTAGGGCTGGGGTGTAGGGCTGGGGTGTAGGGCTGGGGTGTAGGGCTGGGGTGTAGGGCTGGGGTGTAGGGCTGGGGTGTAGGGCTGGGGTGTAGGGCTGGGGTGTAGGGCTGGGAGTCTAGGGATGGGGTGTAGGGCTGGGGGTGTAGGGATGGGGGTATAGCATCAGATTATGAAACATCAATAATAGTTTCACATTTATCACAATGTGATAATTCAAATTTGGCATTAATTTTTAAAAATTAATTTACTGTTACCCCGCTACTCAATGAGTCTAATGTTGCTATTCTTCTACTAGGTACACAAAGCAACTAAATGAAAGACAGAAATCAGTGGTAATCTAAATCAACATCATCTAATTTCAAATTGACGGCGTTAAAAAACAAAACAACGACGTTGTCTAAATACCAAAAATAACGATGTTACCGAAATACCAAAATAACTGCTTAAACCAAACTACCACAAGGACGACTTTTACCAAAATACTTTGTGATGACGTTACCTAAATATCAAAATGACGCAGTGACTGATTATAAAATGAAATCATTGGTTAGAAATGGAACATTCCTTTCCTGATTAAGATTTCCCGAATTAATGTTCTAATAATTCAGCAGCCTGTTAATCATTGATTATAATTAAGAATTTAATTAAAAGTGTAACGAAAGACTCAGTGGTTCGAGACTAAATTTTTAACCCTCCTAACGGAAAAGAAGAAAAAATGCCATTGCTTTTTTTTTTTTTAATTCTTTTGGAGATTTAAATTTTTTCAAGCCGTAACAAATTTTTAGCAGTTTTACAGTTCGTGAGGAGAAATGGTTGAAACCTCTTCTCATTGGTCAATTCATCTCCATTTTGTTTGCATCTTGCGCTCTTATGAAAAGGAGACAGATGGAACTAGAAAAGCGTGGGTGGGTGCGTGGGGGTAGGGGGATTTTCTCTGAAAGATTTTTTTTTTTATAATCATGTTATCAATGTTCAATGTAAAACTGCGTTGCGCATTTGAAAATTGAAAAGATTTTGAGGTTTTTTTTTCTAAACTTTCAATTGCTTCTAGGTTAAGATTTTTAACAAGCAAAACGTTGAATTTTAGCAATTTATGACTACTGTAAATCATTTTTGTTTTTAAAGATCAGCAAGACTCACGTACTCAAGTCTGATGATACTTCAGTCTTTTGAATGTGGTTAATGGTGGGGTACAAGTTTCTTCACTGGTGTAATTAGCGATACCAATGTATGGTTAGTGCTAAAACATAATCAAAAGATTTATCAAGCGGTACTTCTGTATTCATCCGACTTTTGGGTGGGGCGAGGGGTGAGGTGTAGGAGTGGGATGGGGTGCAAGACAGGAAGCGTAGGGGTGGGTTGTAGGGCTGGGGGTGTAGGGATGGGGGTGTAGGGCTGGGTGTGTAGGGATGGGGGTGTAGGGATGGGGTGTAGGGATGGGGGTGTAGGGATGGGGGTGTAGGGCTGGGTGTGTAGGGATGGGGGTGTAGGGATGGGGTGTAGGGATGGGGGTGTAGGGATGGGTGTAGGGATGGGGGGTGTAGGGATGGGGGTGTAGGGCTGGGGTGTAGGGATGGGGGTGTAGGGATGGGGGTGTAGGACTGGGGTTGTAAGTGTGAAGTGGATCGTGTCCATTCATGTCATATGTCATATTGGTCGTGTCTAGTGTGTCTTATAAGGAATCACTTCGGGGGAAACGCTGCCCCCCTACCCCCCCCCCCCCGAACGAAATATAAATATATTTAGAAAATATATACTTTTACCAGTGTACCCCCCTCCCGAAAGTTTTTAAGTGAACCCCCCCCCCCCCCTCGGAGAAAAAAAAAGCCTGAAAGAATCACTGGTCGTGTTACTGTATGGCATATTTCCACCCAACAATTGAGTCGATTTGATGTGTACACAACGTAGTTTTCACGTACACATTTCAGCAACAACAAACCTCGGAGATTGCTCGACTTTCTACAACACGGGGCAACCCTTCGAGGTCACGTGACATAGATTCTCAACGATGATTGGTTAGTAATCTCCCCCCCCCCCGTGTTAGGAAATATCGTTATTATTGATAGTACAACATACCCCCCCCCCCCCCCCCCCCCGTAAACAGAGAAAATAAGTGAAGACATGATATCATGCTATTAGGAATAATTTATTGCCCAATTTTATTTTTCAAACCATTTCATGTATCGACATGTAGAGGTATTGCCCTTAGCTATCACCGCATTAGCTATGGAGCACCAATTGAACTAAGATCAATGTCAGTGGTTTGTGGTCGTGCTTCGGAGTTGTCTTCCCTTTTCGCGGTTTTGTTTTTCAGTTTTTGTGTAGTTTGTGTAAGATGTTGGGTGATGGTTAAACGTGCCACAATGTGTTAGAGCATTGAGCAGCTATCTGCTAAAGCGTGCGGCGCAGCTAGAGTCTGTTTCAGAGATGTTGGTCAATAGCGAAGTGGTTGTGTGTTTAACATCGTGATGTTGTTTGGTGTGTGGATAACATCGTGATGTTGTTTGATGTGTGGATAACATCGTGATGTTGTTTGATGTGTGGATAACATCGTGATGTTGTTTGGTGTGTGGATAACATCGTGATGTTGTTTGATGTGTGGATAACATCGTGATGTTGTTTGATGTGTGGATAACATCGTGATGTTGTTTGGTGTGTGGATAACATCGTGATGTTGTTTGATGTGTGGATAACATCGTGATGTTGTTTGATGTGTGGATAACATCGTGGTGTTGTTTGATGTGTGTTTAACATCGTGATGTTGTTTGATGTGTGGATAACATCGTGGTGTTGTTTGATGTGTGTTTAACATCGTGGTGTTGTTTAGTGTGTGGATAACATCGTGATGTTGTTAATTGTGTGTTTAACATCGCGTTGTTGTTAGTTTTGTAGCTAACATCGTGATGTTGTTAGTTGTGTGGCTAGCATCGTGATGTTTATATACCAGAGGCTAACATCGTTATGTTGTTGGTTGAATCTTTCGACTTTAAATTTGATCTGAAGTAGTAGTCTGTGTAGTTAATTTTTCGTAAGGGTTGTGTGTCATATGGGTCACGCGACATATTGGTAATGTGTCATCGGGTAATGTGTCATCATTTGAGTCATATGTTATATGAGTCATGCCTCATATGGGACATGTGTCATATGGGATGTGTCATCTGGGTCATGTGTCATATCTGTCTTGTGTGTCATATAAGTCATTTGTATTTGATGTGTTATAGGCCATTCATGTGTCGCTTGTCTTGTCAGTCGTTTATCAAGTGGGCCATATGGGTCATTGTGGGTATTGCGCGTACTTACGTGTAAAAAAAAAATCTATTTTTGTACGCGCCTACGCCACATCTCCCCCTCCCCCATGTCGCTGTGCCCTCGTTTCATTACGTCATTTCGCGGTCTAGTGATTTACTCATCGTGTGCCTGAGACAAAAATAAACAGACTATTAACTTCCTAAAACAGACTGGGGAATGGTCGGAGGGGGGGGGGGATGGGGGGGGGAATAGTTGAATAATATTGGTTGGTGAAACAAAAACTTTCATGCCAGTACTTGGGAACGGAACAAAATATATCCACGTTTTAAAAAAAAACTAAAATAAAAATTGTGAATTACCGTAAATGTTTAAAAAGTTGTCTCACTCCAACGAGAAAAATGCTTGTGTGCTTGATATGCATAATGTGCACTGTGCTCTGATTATACGGGGTTTTATTTATTTTTACGAAAAAAAAATTGAAAAAAAAAAACCCGTAACATGTTTACGAATGAGTATGCGGCCAAGAAATAACACAACTTAGAGGGAACATTGCTAGTCTCGCGAACTCGAACTGTACCCCATGGGTTGGTATTCAATTTGATTCTCCGTGAGTAGTGAATTTAACTATGTAATTTTTAAAAACTGTACTGATCGGTCAGAAAATCAATAATGGATATCATAGTTCATAGCTTGATGGTGGTATCTCCAGTTCTTGTTTTGATAAGGGGAAAATGCATTTAACATAAGAGCACAAACATTAAGAGGGGTGGGGTGGAGGATCAGACGATAAGCTGACATCCCCTTACCTTCTCATGAAATCGCGAGATTCCATTAAATGTCTATTTGGAAATACTACACCTTGTATTTTGTAATCAGAATTAAAATTTTAAATATTGACAAAAAAAAAAAATTCAATGTTTGGAAATTTATGGATGTCCTCTTATTTTACGTACCTTTTGGACATTTGTGGTTCATAAAAAGAAAAACACCCAATAATATCGCATTTTATAACGCTATAAATTGTCAAGATTAGCGATAAGAAAAGAATTAGGGTTTACGTGTTAAAAAAACACAGACTTGTCTGCCTCTTATCGACGATTTAAACAATTACCAAATTATAGGGTAACCCATAACTCACAACACCAAAAAATTTAACATTTTTAGAACCCCTTCCCAACCACCTTCTACCACCTTCAAAAAAAAAATCTCCATAAAATTAAAATATCGCCCCAAAGCTCTACATATACTTAAAAATACCAAAATACCAGAATTCTTTTAATTTTTTTTCTTGTTTTTGATCTATGATAACTATAAGAAAGATATGTAGTAATATTTCTCCCCCCAACCCACTAGACATGTAACACATATTTTTCAGAAGGCGATAGTCTTTGTATACCTACGGACCTTTCACATTAACCCCCTACATTGTATGATGTCTACCACCAACTTTTAGAATAGGCCTATTTGATTCAATAGAATTAAACAAACATGACTAGATCTGATCAATACACAGTTAATTATAAAACTGTAATCCATGGATTATGGTACATTAAGACCTAGTCTAGTCTGGTTTATTTATAAGCCTAACCAGAGCACAGCGTGCTGCGTAAAATAAAGTTAAACTTCCTTTTCGAACCTGACGAATCATGGGCCAGGTAGAGTTCACCTGCTTCTGTGACCTCGGCATATGAAGGGATAGTGTGGTCAGCATTATGCCAAGCCGCTTTTAGTTTCCCTAACGTGAATATTACATTATTTTAATAAAATTTATCAAATTTGAGGGTAATCAAAATTGGGTTAATAGTATTGGGGTTAACGGCTGGGTTGGGGGACGAATGAGTGTAATGGGTAATGTCCTGCTTCCATTCTTACATACAACAATGCAAATCTAAAAACAAGAAATAAATTTAACCAAATTTTCCAGGCAATTATTTTTGTCATTTAAAATTCCAACTCTAATACGAGCCCCCCCTCCCCCCCCCCCCACCAAATCTGATCCCGTCCCTAGCGCCTGGCAGCCGCTTGCGGTAATGTATGGTCGAAGACGGGGCATCCGAACAACATTTTAAACCAGCGATAACCGGAGCCGACCGGACTATGGATCGGCCCGGCGGGAAAAAACTTAATACGGCTTACGAGGGGTTCGCGGGGGATTAAGCGCCAGAAAGGGGCGAGCAATCGGCTTTCCAGGACCGACAACTCATCCCTTTTACAACCATTTATTAGATTCAAACGTTTTAGTCTTTGGGGCAAAAAGAAAATGGATGCAGACCGCTGCCGAGCCCTAGCAATGCATTTTGTATGAAGTCTTTAAGGATTATTCCGCGGTTTTAAACCTTGTTAAAGTTTTTAAGCTACAGAGTTCTACGTCCGGTTTTTTCGTTTTACAGATTGCGCGTCATCGAGAATAAAATAAGCTAAAAAAAAATAAAATGGAGAGGTGTAACTAAAAAAGAACAGCTAGATTTATCTCCCCTGAATTTTAAAAATTTACCTTTTTGTACGTGGTGGATCTTTTAGGCATTTTAGGGAATTCATTGTACAAAAAAATAAACAATTCTCACGGATGCATTAGGAAAGACTATTGAGGAGGGCGGGGGTGGTAGAGGTGTTCATCTATCTTTGTAAGTGTTGAACAAGGGTGTTCAAATGGCGACGTGAACTCGTATTAACTTCCAAGGGAGGCTATCAACATTGTAAGAATCACAGAAATAGGACTGTGTTTCTTCCCTTGAGGTTCTAATTTAGATTTATCCGCAACGTAAATTTAACCCCATGTTTAAAATAAAGGTTCACGGAAGCAGTACATGACAAAATGTTTCAAATAGTTAGACTAACATATCAAATACAGGGGACTTTTTTCTTCTTAAAACATTGATAAAAAAAACAACTATTCATCACACAAGAAAGACAAAAACGCAAAAATGTGAGTAGAATTCCAATTTATTTTCTCATAAAGACATCATGTTGAATAGTGCCACTGATAAAAGTTAAGAGAATGTGTTAGCTGACACTCAAAAGATAAAACTTAAATAATACACTACTAAAAGTACCTAGAAAAAAAATGAAACAAAAAAAATTGTTTTTAGACCTGCTTTAAAGAAATTATCTTTCAGAATTACATGTTTTTTTCGTTGTTTATTTTATGATTTCATTATTGCCATACAAACCACATACGCGTTCCCGTAAGTCATAATACAGTTTAAAAATATGAAAATACAAACGCTTAGATTTTATTTATATGAAGTACAGTACAAAATTAAATGCCCAGCAGTGTTAAAAACAAACAAGTAAAAACAAACAAGTAAATTAAATAAATTTGTGAAAATAAATGCTGCTTGAATATAGGCTGTGTCTGGTTAAACTGAGATGTTTTGAGATTAATCTGTGATAGTTTTGTGGTTAAACTGGCAGTTGTGTATGTTTAACCATGATGATTGTGTGCAGTTAAACTGTGATCGTTGTACTGTTAAACTGTGATCATTGTATGGTTGAACTATGAGTTTTATGATTAAGCTGTGATGATTGTGTGCGTTTAAACTGAGATGGTTTTTAGCTTAAGCTGATTGTTGTGTGGTTAAACTATAAAGGTTGTGTGTTTGAATAGTTGATTGTTGTATGGTTGAACTATGACAGATTTCTAGTTAAACTAACAGTTGCGTATGGTTGAACTGTGATGATTGTGTGCGGTTAAACTGTGGTGGTTGTGAGATGTGGAGGTAAGGTAATTGGAATCAATTTCACATCACATGAGAAATGTGGAGATGTTTATATGAGAAAGTTGTTGACGTGTGATGTGTTTGCATGAGAAATGTGGAGATGTATGATGTATTGAATGAGAAAGGTGGTGATATTTTTTTTTCTATAGCAACTACTGAAGTCTACAGATATATGTCGGACTGGCCAAATAACAACAAAGTTCAGCTGTATATAAAAAAATGTAGTCACATTTCCAATCTACAAATAAGATCATTGATTTTAATATAATTATACAAGAAGCAAAAATTAAACAATTATAAGCAGTAGAAAAACATTCTAAAACCTAACCCAACATAACCAATAAAAATATGACAAGCTACTATTGTTTGTTGTACGTTAACATCATCAACATTCATTCTATCAAGAAATGCAATCATTTTTTTTAAAACTCAAGACATTTTTTAAAATTTTGCTAAGCCAAGCTAAACACAGAATTAAAACAACTCATACAGTGCTATGTAAATACCAAAAGAGTAAAGTCTCTACATGGATACACTTTGTTAATGTTTGTAAAATACAAGATAACAAAAAGTAAATCAATAACATAGCTTTAAATGAGGATACAGCATGCTAGGATTTCTGTGTTAATCAAACAGGTCATCATTTGATTCTGGTCAACATTTTGTAAAACTTATAACATGACTCACAAGTGGGAGGATAAGTGCCATAGAGCTGACATAGGATTTATCCAGATTGGAAATTTAGGTGAAACAAAACCATAATTTAAGATTAAAAAAAAATAACCTTTTTACTATGAGTGAGATAGTGGCAAGCTGAGTTACAGCTAAAATATGAGACAGTGGGTGATAGGTTTTACCCTGATAAATGAGACCACTCTTGGTCAACCATTTCAGTGACACAACAGCTGTTTAACTTTTCCTATCAAGCAATCTTGTATAGTTAAATAAAACCAGAAAGCTGCGTCAGCCAAAAACAATTGAATTTATATGTCAATATCCCATAGATTTAGAAATAAAAAAGAAATGTACTTTTTTTTTTTATGATTATCATTTTTTTTAATAAGAAAATAAAAATATAAATTTAATTATCAAATGTGAAACTAAAAAAAAATATTAAAGAGAGATAGAAAAAAAAAACCTGGATTGGAATGTGCTAACAGTAGAAAATTCTAGGTACCGGTATAAAGTGGGATTAAAAGAAAACCACTAGATTATCATAGAAGTGCTTTACACATGGAATGAACAGTGCAACAGTGAAGGCAGCAATGGTGAGTAGAAAAGATAATAATAAACAGTGTGGAACAGCCTGAGATAACTCTAGATAGTAATTTAGAGTTATCTCTCAGTGTAAATAAACATAATGAGATAACTCAAGCAGTATTTTAGAGTTACCTACCTGTAGAAGACTAAAAATGGAAGACTAATGGAACAGTGAGGCTAGCATATGCAAGCAAATTCAATCTTCATTTGTAATTTTCTTTTACAAACTTGGACACTTGTTTTATTTTTCATCCAAATAAATATTTTTAGTATTTATCTATTTTTATTGTGTATTCCTTTTATTCAGATTACTTTGAACATGGATAAAATCTTCAGTAATCTGACACAAAAGAGGATAAAGGAAATTACCTTAAATACACATGGATAAAAAGCTGAACCCTTAGAAATTTAAATGATAAAATTTAAAAACAAACAACTTATCTTTACATATTCTTTTCCTTTGTTTGAATACAAGAATAAAACATGAACATACAGTGCATAAAACTTACATAGATGTATAAAATGCCATTTGTAAAAACATCTAACAGAAATCAGAAAACAATTTAAGTATGATACAGCACACAAAGTTATTTAGTAAATAACTTAGGAGTTGAATAGCTTAACACAAACAAATATTGATACCCTTTTACACTTTGTTGGTTGCTTACTCTAAGCTGGGTCGCAACGGCGCTGAAGATTTTTGAAATTTCTTTTGGTTCTCCAGGTTTTGAACCTCAGACGGACATGGCTTTCAAAGGTTGTGAATGGGCACTCCACACATGAGATCAGGAGAAAGGCCAGTGCATAGGAACACAGAAACAGTGCGATGTAGGTGTATAACTGTAGAGGGAAATAAGGCATTTATGTTTACATACAACAAGAGAAAGGTTAGCCAATAGTAACACAGAAACAGTGTGATGTAGGTGTACAGGAGGAATGTTTTTGGAAAATTAGTTAATGTTTCACATAGATAATTGAATTATACCATACTAGAATGTTACATGTTTTGATAAACATTTAGAATAAGGCTACTAGGTTGAGGACATTAATCCCCCTCTCCCCAATAGCCCCCTTTTTAACCTATTCTATACTACAAAATTAACAAACATGAACATTATACTCTACAGCTTTATTACACCATTAACTCAGAATCTTGTTCAAATATTTGTTTTTACAATACTTGCTAGATAAACTTTAAACACAAATATGTCAACTTACCAGTTGTCCAAGGTTTAAGTAGAAGTTATGATATGAAGACTCAATGACCACGTGTATCAGAATGGGGTGAAGAAGGAAAACACCATATGTGATACGACAGAGAGGAAGAAACAGGTTCCATGATAAAAACTTTCCCACAAAAGCTGGAAACAGAACTAGAAATTAGCTTGTACACAGGTAAAAACGTAGTATGTAAATAATAAAATTCTGTAAATTGCCATAACCTTGCCATTATTAAACATTAATTTTTTAGAAATGAGTAGATATAGTTAAAATAGTGAATAACTGACTAGAATAAGACTAATGAGGTGTAGTTACACTATCAGAACAGAAATTGCTAAAATTATACTTTAAAATACCTTGTATTAAATTAATAATTTTTTAAAGGTTAAATCAGTTTGTAACTTCTGTTTTGGCAATATAGGCTTCCTCCAAAGTAAACAATGAGTTACCTCCCTGTCCAGTACTGCAGGCAAATATAACCCAGGCTAGAGCAAAAGCCCACGCAGGTCTAGAGAAAGCTTCGTACATGGCTGTTTGCATGCCAGTCCATGGCTGACCACCCTCCCTGTTCTCCACGTGGGTTATGTAGGGCAACATGAACAGGACTAAACAGGACAGTATCCAGCCTCCATACAGGATAAACTATGGATAATGGATACATCAGTCAATGTAATTGACACACAAACACATTAAATTTTAAAAATATTTGCTACTGGAATGTACAACTTTAGAAATAAATGAAAGATTAAATAATTTTAAAAATGGTCAAGTTTATTTTGCCAACACGTTATTAAGGATCAGACTAGTGGAATGTTTTATCACCACCTTAATAATTTTGAATTTGAAGTACAGGCATTAAACTTATCTTTCAGAAACCAATCTTAAGACATTAACCTATCTTTGTGACAAACTTGCAGATAGCTAATGTCACCCAGCAAAGTATAATGGCGTTTTTAAAAGAGAGAGGACCTATGTATATTTGGAAAGAGTTTATACCTTGTACAGAATCTATTCATCCTTATATCTTTCTAAAATGAAGGCAATATTGTAAGAGCATTAAGAAAAAAAATATATATCTTGACTAAAAACTGACTATGTTACAGTACTATCACAACGCTTCTTCTACAGAGTTAAGCCATACAAGCAGTAGAAGCTAGCAACAAAAAGGTAGGACTTACCTTCCTAAACTTCATTTGTCTATCACAAACAAATAAGAAATAACCCAGTCCAAGACCAATGCAGTAGATCCCAATGCGACTGTAAGGTTTCACATAGATCAGTGACCAGTAGTTGTTCATGCGCAACCTATTGGCAAAAAAATTGTTGTAATAGATCAGTGACCAGTAGTTACTCATGTGCAACCTATTTGCAAAAAAAAACTTTTTTAATAGATTGGCGAAAAATTGTTTTAATAGACCAGTGACCAGTAGTTGTTCATGCGCAATCTAACACAAAAAACTGGTTTTAATTAATGAGTATTTTGTATTTAATTCTAAGAGAATAGTAGAGAAGTGGACAGGAAAGAAAGGGTTGACTTACTTTAACACATTGCCATTGATTCCTTGGTTTAGGACACTGACCACAACAATCTGGACTGTTACAAAAAATCCTATCAAGGACAATCCAATTTTAGGATAGCTACAGGGACAGAAAAAAACAGAAGCTAATTATTAGCAAATAGAAAATTCAATGCAGTATGGTAAGACAAAAAATATTCGTTTACACTCTCGCTTTGTAACTTAGATATTAGCTCTTCCATCTGTTTACTATAGGGCACTTGTCAGCAGTTATTCATTTTTACTAGAATTAGTGGATAAAATATACACAGCCTAAGTTCCAAACCACTGAATAATCAGTAGAAAAATAATGGTATTTAATAACAGAATTTCATGAAACTGATGTAAACTTGACCCTATTATATTTGATTCTGTCAACATGAATGAGTTAAAACTTCATTTAACTAATTTATAAACCTAAAATACCTTGACTTAATAAGCATGTGCGCTAAGACCAAATGAAGACTTACATTAGAAGTGGTATAAGAACTAGTGGTGACAATAGGAAGAACTGAAAATCATTAGCCAGGTAGTAGGTGTGGGGAAGGCACTGTTGAAGAAAATAATACAACTTTTTGTTAGCAAGGCATCACCAAACTTAACACAACAAATATAATCACACAAAATCTAATGGATAGTAAATTTAATTAGCGGTATTGGAGGAATGTATCCCAAATTTTTAAGATCTAAATTATTTTTAGTAAAATATATATGTATATAATCAATTTAATCTGTAGTATATATTCAGCTTTAAAGGATGTATTGTTAAGATATTAGTTGAAAGCTCCTAAGTTTGTTTAGGAATATGTATACAACTGGCCTCAACAGATTGCAATAGTAGAGATAACATTACCAGTAACAATACAAGAGTAACACAAGGCTTACCATGTCATCAGGTTGGTAGAAGTTGCTGATGAATAGAACATTTGACCACCAGTTTTTTTTACAGACTTGGACGTTCTTAATCTCAGTTGACCAGCGAGGTCCTTCACCCAGATACGGCATCATGTTGGTCCCCAGCATCAACAGCACAGCATAGCATGGTAAGATTCTGAAACGTCAAATAGATTTTTTTTAAAAATATTTTAACATAACATTTAAGACAATCTAATTTATTGCTAACAAAAGGCTCTTTATTGTCAAATAATGTTAGTAGTAGGAGATAATCAAGACAACTATAATTATGGTTTGAACTTTTGTTAGTTGTGTAGGCAACTAGTTCTATTCATATTTCAAGTTATTCTTTAATTTATTTACTTAAGTAAGAGTAACATAATTTTCTTACTGATTTGTATAAACAAACAGAAAATTTTAAGTCAAAATAAAAAATTAAAACTACTATATAATTTAATGTTAAACCTACATTTATTATTCTAATTAACTAATGTATTACGACTGCCCTTTCTATGCTGTACAAAGCCCCTCACCTGACCAGCCTGTGCACAATCATGAAGAAATATTCCTTGATGCTCATAACTTTCCTCCAGTCCTTCTCCTTGTTTTTACCAGCCTTTGTTTTGATTTTTAAAAAGTTGTAAGCTCCAAGGGTGCCACTGGGTTATGCCATGTCAAAAATAAAATTATCACAAGGATATTTAAGGATTTCTTTAAAAGCAGAACATTTATGACGTTTATTAAATAATGATAAAAGAAATTGTTACATAATCTAAAAAAAGTACATTTAAATTTATACTAATTGGGTTAACTGTGCTATATTTTCAAGTTAACTACAGTAAAGAAATACCAGTAAGTAAACAAATACCTCAAAACAAAGAAGGAATCTGCTGCTAGAGTTGTATTGATGACTAGTTGCATCCACCAAGTCTGGGTTAGTTTGATAGCGGAAACATGGTTGTCTGCATTTTAAAATAATTTCATACATTTAAAAAAAATTAAATATTGTATTCATACACATTTGGATCATACATTTATCAGTAAGCTTTGGGTTGTATTTATCATATGTAAATTATCTTATTTTGTACACATGACTTAAAAAATGAAATATAAGGCCTGCATTTTAATTAGAATTTAAAAAAATATTAAAAGACTTGCCTACAATATCAGGGTTCTGGAAAATTGTGCCATACACATTCCCTAACACAATCCAGGCAATGCTCAACACACGGATACCATTCAGACAGTACAACGTATCCACTGAGCCATCGGCTAATATGTGACGGGTATTTTTACGAAATGAGAATGACAAAAGCAGGTCAGTAAAAATATTATCTGAAACAAAAAAACATTTATAAAATTAGTACAAATATGGTAAATTTTAATTTTTAGTAAATTGTATCCTTTTAAAAATAAAGAGAATCTTTGTGATAAATTTTTAGATTGCTAGTACTATGCAAAGCGATATACGCATAATCTCAACAGTTATAAAAATGTACCTTATACAAATTTGATGTACTATGTTAACACAATATACACTAAATATAGCAGCAAAAATGTAAACAATACTGACCTGAGGATGAAAGTTTCTTGGACCGATGTGAAGGCCTGACCTCAACAATACTATGCTGTCTGTTGACTTTAGGTGTGAAAACAATGGAGTTTCTTTCACCTGCCATTGGTGATTTCTCTGTGGTATCAGTGACATCACTGAAGCCGTCATCTGACATCATGTCAATTCCATCACCATCAGCGCCGTTGACATTGTTCATAGATGTTGTGGTGTTCTGGTTTTTGTCTTTCAGTTCTCTCCCCTCTGGAATGTCCTAGGGTACAAGACATTGGTTGCTCTTAGAAATTTAACCTCTGACTTTTCATTTTTATACTTTTTAGAAAAACAAAAGTAAGAAACAAAAATAGGAGGATGAATTGATAACACTTTGTTAATGGAAAAATATAAGTTTAGTGGCAATTTTTACGTACAACTAAAGCATCAACTTTTAAAATCAGTAGGGGTTATAAAAGGAATATAAAACCAAAATATTTATGAACTCTGGGGAAAAAAATGGTTCAAGGAGAATCTAGTGGAATTAACCAACGTGATTTAATTCATTGCAGGTATGATATATTAAAGCAATAGCTTTGGTGAAAATGGGTATTTATGTTGCTGAAAAAGCATTTACAGATTAATAAAGTATGAAAAATTTATGAAAAATTTATTCTTAAACAATAATTTCCAAGTGATGAAAATAGAAATTACAATTTGATACATAAATTAACTCATTTTTACTTGTCCTTCACAGGTCCAACAGTTAGTATTGATTACATGTATTCTTAGATGAATTCGGTTTATAAGATCAGCAGTTTTGTGTAATGGATGTTAAACAAGTTACCTCAAGTTCAAAATGTCCACCATGAGGGGGTGAGGTGCTCAAGGATCTGTTGTAAGATGTCAGCTGTACAGTTTCTTCTGCTGTGATGGCCTCTGATATACTTTTAAAACTTGCCCCGCCATTTCCCTGCTGGCTTTTGTCTACTTCATGATCCATGTGATCAGATGATGATAGTGTAGCTCGGCGGCGTCTGCGTTTCCTGCAATACATTTAGATGTGATTAATAATGTCATTTAAGTTATTAAATTAATAATCAATTTTTTAACTATTATATGTTCTAAAACTGAAGTGTTGTTTTAATGCATTTGTTTATAGACGTGAAAAATAGATTAAAAACTTAAATAAAAAGTACATCGAGTAAAGAAAATTTGGTCTAAAATGAAGTGCATTTTTTTTAGATTCAATTAATATAGTTTTATTACAATAATTGAAAGATTTGATTTAGTACAAAATTATAACTTAACAATACCTTGGATTCACTAGTATCTTTAAAATCCCATAATGTTCAGATTCTTTATCATATCCTATTGTGATCTCTGGGCCATGTTTAATGCGAAGTTTGTTTCGACGACGATAGATATCATAGCTTGTTCCAAACACAACCATGGCCAAAATTATGCATAAAATAATCCTAAATAGATAAAAAAAATGAACAATGTTCTTCAGTTTTTTTCAACAGAAATTAATCAAGGTCAAGTTAATTTGACAATACTTACAAGCAAATAAAAGCTGGAGCATCCTCTGTTATATTAGTCTTATGGTGACAGAGGACTGATTTCACTGTGATGTTGTCATTAAAATCATCAATTCTTAAAACTGGGGAAAAAAATATGCATGAATTATTAGTTTTTATTTTAACATCCTCTTCTAAACTGAAGAGGCAAATCAAAAGTGAGTCAGTGAAAAAAATGTTAATATTTGTAAATAGAAAATACTCAACAAACTGTTTTTTTTTTAAAATTTAAAATTCAAAGGCTTAAAAGATTATTAATCGATATGATTCTTGCATGTCAGCTAATGTTTGTTAAAAATGAACATGTAGTTCATGCATTGGTAAATAAACTGGACTGTGCTGAATTTATCTACCACATTCATTATATTAATGATTTAAATATACTCTAAAGTTAAAAAAAATCTTGCTGGCTTTCAAAGGGTTTCTTGCATTAGCTCATAAAGTAAAAAGAAAATATAGCATTGACATATTATACATAAATATATCACAATATCTATGAAATAATCAACAGGGATTAACTTACAGGCATCCACAATACTGTGAATATCTTTGGAGGTACAGTTGACAGGTAGGCATGCATCAACAATGAATGGGCTTGGTGGGACAGGGAATGGCAGGTGCTAAAATGGAGAAGAAAACAGTTAAAAGTTTAATGAGTTTTATACTGTTTAAACTGTGTCTCAAGTACAAGTAAAAAAGGGTAAGCTAACTTACAATAGATGAGATGAGTTTTGGCATCCAGGGTGCATTCTTCATGTGGATGCTGCAGAAATGGGGGGCGGGCTGTGACAAGTGGGAGCAAGCCCCACCCTGGTACATCTTACACTGGTCGACCATGATATTCAGACACTCCTCATAGTTGCCAGTCCAGGTGGTGGCGCCCCAGAAAATTCCAGAAGACTGCTTTCCTGTAGCATCATACACTGAAACATGTGGTACATGTTAGTAAGTAAATACATTCACATGATGGGACTTGTTCTTCAAACTTGGGTACCTGTATGAAACAACTAAGGAAAATAAGTGTAACAGTTATGGTCACACAAGAAAAAAATGTTTCAGCAAAACCAATAGCATGTCTACTTGGAGTAAAATATTTAAATTTTAAAATTGTATTCTATACAGTTATATCAAGTTTACTACTTTAGAGACATATTATTTTTTTATGACAAATTTAAAACTACACATGATTATAATCCATCAGGCTAAAATAAATGAATGCATTAATTACCATAGTTGATTAAAGCTAATTTGACATACATGACCAACACTTAATTAGGGTTATTTCAAATGCAATAAACATCATGTTTTCTAAAATGGATAATAAAACATGCTGGATAATCTATGGATTAACCAGCTGTTAAAACATGGGATAGTGGTGCGGATGTGCCAAACTGACATTTATGATAATTTCAATAAAATTACTCAATGGTACAGGTAAAAAAGGAATTAAAAGCATCTAAAAATCAAAAGTAATTGTATAAAAATAGTTACATAAGGATGACTTGAATACATTTAATAAAAAAAACTAACTTTTCCAAGCCCATGTTTCTTTCCTCTGCAAGGCATGATAATACTGTGTTAAACTTTTCTGACAGCTCTCTGATGCAGTGTAATTGTGGGTATTGTTTTCCGCTGCTCCTGCATGTATGAATGCTCTTAAAAATAAGATTTTTTAATATTTAATCACAATTAGTTAGAATATACATCAACACATTTTCCAACATGACAAACACACCAGAATCTTTAAATTTTTTTGCACCAATAATTAAAATAAACTTTTGTGCTAACATGTTATACGTTAAACGAGCCTTAAATTAATCCCTAACAATTGTAAACATTTATAATAAGGCTTATGCCCTGATTAATGCTACCTATAGTCCTTTAAAAATCTAAAAATTTAAAGTTAAGTTGGAGTCTTGCTAGTTTAAACCCCTTAATGAAGTTAGCCGGTGTCTTTTAAAGACGTATAAATAACCCTAATACAAAGTAAATGATATACCTGTAGATATGCGGCAGTACTAAATAGCTGGCTGAACTATGCTCATCGATTCTTTCTTTTAAATCTGCTATGACATCAAACCTGGGTATTTCAAAATTGTCAAAAGCCTCTGCTTTGCAGACGCTGGGACCCAAAAACAGAATGACGCAGAACACAAGTGATATCATCTTTACTGAGCTCCAGTTTCTTTCATATTCTGAAGAAAAATAATGTAAAATTGTCAGTAATCAGTTATAATCACATTTTTATTATTAGTCAATATTTTCTTTAATCTCAATACACAATAATAGAAATAATATAATATAGGCCTTTTACATGGATATGAAGATTTTGTAGTCCAAAATATAAAATCTATTACTAAGCTGTAGGGCCTATCTAAGAGTTGGCAGCTATTATGGATGGAAATACTGTAACATTTTGGTATAGAGTATAACAATCTTAGATCTAGATTGTAATCTATTAGATATAGATTTTAGATCTATAAACTAGACTCTAAAGCCTTAACATTTTAACAGAGGCCGGGGACAAACTTTCAATTTGCACCCCCCCCCTCCCTCAAACTTTCAATTTGTACCTCCCCCCTCAAACTTTAGATTTGCACCTCCCCCTCAAACTATTTATATAATGCAAAAATGCAGCTTTTTTAAATTTAATTATTAATTAAATTATATTAGATTTTAATTTAGACCTATGCCTATGGTAACTTAAGACGACTAAGAGAACTTAATATATTATTTACTCTAGTTCTAGGCTCTAGTCTAGACTAAAAAACTCTAGAATCTAGATCTAGATCTAGACTCTGCTAGCAGCTAGATCTAGAATCTAGATCTAGATCTAGATTCTAGATCTAGTAGAGTAGACAAGAAAAGAGTAGTCTTCTAGACTTCTACCAATTTCAAATCAAATTAATTAATAAAATACTAATTAATAATAAATTGAGCTACCTAAGCCTAGTTTATAATTAATTTGACCGCAAGTTATATTTTAAATGAATTAGATCTTGTAATAAACTACTCTTTGTGCAGATTCGAATAACTGCAGTCCCCAGAGACTAAAAGATTGACAGCAGCCGCTAAAAAGACTGCCAACTTTGCACTGCTGTTACTGCAAACAGTACAAATATCGCTCTAAATCTTTACGTAATCGATATGTTGATAATTTTTACAAAATTTCTAGATTTCGAGACACGCGTCAGTAGAAACTTTAGTATATAAATATTGAACAATTTTGAATAAATATATTTTACTAAACGTAAATTATAATTAAAATTTGAAGCCTATACAATTCTGTAACTAAAATAATTCCCATGATACATTAATATGATATCGATCCGAAATGTGAACTCAGTGTCCCATTAAGTTAGCGAGAGTTCCTTCCCCTTGTATAAAAAAAAAAGAAAACGACACATTGCACAAGAGCTGTTTCAGCCCTTCCCCAGCCCCACCACATTTTCTTTATCAGGGCTGGGGTTAAATTTAGTTTATCTGACGTTTACTGCGAATGAAAATCATTTAACCTTATAAAGACTCGATCTAGATTCACATTTCTTCTGTGGAGTATTGTGCAACTAGTCTAATATTGAAACTATTCATTGATAGGTGATTAACCTTATGCATTTTAGTCGTATTAATATTATCACCGTATTATGCGATTAAAATTAGTGTGATAAATAATAAACGTTATTAATAAACATTTTAAAAGTAGCCTAATTAGATCGCAGCATACACATAAAGAAAGGAAAAAAAAAACGACACCATCTCTACAAAAAAAAAACAAAACACGAAGGAATGTTAGTTTGGGCCCAAACAGCAACAAAATCCAACTGCTTGTAATGTTATGTATATTCATTCGCGCTTACCACCCTTATTTGCATCGGAAAATTGCATTCCCCGATTCTCACTACGAATTCGCGCGCATGCTCACTCTATAGGGTAAAGATTTCTGTCGTGAAATGACCCGCTCTAACATGCGAGTCACACACTGACCACTAGATGTAACGGCATTGTTGGCTTAGATACTGATGAGGCTAATACAGATTGTTTTATTATTTCTGTTCTGTTCAGAATTCTGCCTATGTAGGGGGTCATTCATAAATGATGGCATGCTTTTTGGACAATGTTATCCCCTCCCCATCGTCAAACAAGGCCACAAAAAGACAGACCCACACTCCCTAAATAGCGTCACACCTCAGCTTACACCCCACAAGTTTTATTTTATAAAACACAATTTTTTTTTCTAAAATATTCTCTGAACTCAGTCAACATTGTGTATATCAATCAATCATATTACAATTTATAAAAAAAAGCCTTTAAAACGCGAAATAACGGCTACATTTTAGTCTCTAACTTTGCTTCTTAAATGCAAATTTGTGTTGTCACACCTTCTGTACACCCCTCTCCCCCTCAGTTTCTTCCAGGCATCTCTTCGGGGGGGCTTCGCCCCCCCCCCCCCCGAATTTTTTTTACCGCCCCCCCCCCCCGAACGAAATGAAATTTATATAATTTATATAGAAAATATACCGCCCCCCCAAAGATTTCAAGTGCCCCCCCCCCCCGGAGAAAAAAGTCTGGAAGAAACACTGCTCCCCCTCCTCACACATCGTCACAAAATTTCACCCCCCCCCCTCCGTCTAAAATTGTGACGTTGTACATGGACAGAAAGTTTGACAAAATACAATTAAATCCAAAAGAGTTTGTGTTCAATGGTAGACTACAGCTTAGAACCTGTTTTATTGTTGGTACACTTGTTCAGACCACAAATTAAGTACCCCCCATAACCAAATTATCACCTTACTCAAACAGGCACTGTGCATTGTGTCGTATGACCCGTATTCCTCATTATAAACGCCCCCCCCCCCCTCAGAAGCTTAGCGAGGGGGTGTGGGGGGGGGGGTACATATGTCCCCGGGCGCCGACCTTAGGGGGCGCCAAAATGGGTTGGAAAAACAAATTATAGTTTGAGAAGGGTTGCAAATAGAAAAATAGAGGGGGTGCAAGTCGAAAGTTTGTCCCCGGGCGCCGGGAAGGGTCGCTCCGTTTCTGTCCCCCCCCCCCCCTTTAAACACCCCCACGGAAACGCCACTAGTATTTGGGGACTGTTATCATTCCCTCAGTAACTAGAATGTCTCGATAATGAAACACGCCAATGATGTATGCTATGACGTCACAACTGGAGAATACGCGTCCTTGGTTTTCTTGGCAAGATAGTTTCTTGAAATGTCAACCTGTTTTCACACTTTTCCTAACCTAACCTATTGCAGAGCGTACGCCCATCTTTTGTCTACTATCGGTAATTAGTTTCTTATAAAATTGTGTATCGTTTACTGTAGTTGAAAGTATAAAGGCATTACGTGTAAAAATCAGTGTTTCTTCCCGACTTTTTTCTCGGGGGGGGGGGGGGGGGGGGGCACTTGAAATTTTCGGGGGGGGGGGGGGGGGGGGGGGGCGGACACTGTTAAAAGTATATATTTTCTATATACATTTCATTTCGTTCGGGGGGGGGGGGCGGTCGAGATGACTGGAAGAAACTCTGGTAAAAATGATATTTTACAACTTAAGATTGATTCTTAATTAATTATTGGCGACACAGGTCTAATATATATATATATATATATATATATATATATATATATATATATATATATATATATATATATATATATATATATATATAATTCTCTTCTTGGAGACGATAGAAAACACCAAGCTGTAAGCGCGCTCCCTACCACCCCCACCCCTACATGGTCTGGTGAGCTGTGGTTCACGCTAAATGTTTACAATCGTAGAGCCGGGTTTAGTGACGGCTATTAGGGGCAGGTAATTTAGTTTGAAACGATTTTAAACTTAGGGGAGGTAACTAAGAGGAGGCTGCTTTCACGAGGGGGGGGGGTAGGGGTTGGGGAAAAGAAGGGTTTTAGTGTTTTAAAGCAAATATTTTCAGTGGCAGCATTGGTACTCTCGAATTCACAAATTATAAATTACTGAAAAGTAGAAAAAAAACAACAACTAAATAGCGGCGTATGATACGCCGCGGGTCGGCTCGTATTATATATTACCTACACAACACACAACTAATGTCACCAATAATTTAGTTGGCAGTGTTTCTTCCAGACTTTTCTCTCCGGGGGGGGGGGGGGGGGGCACTTGAAATTTTCGGGGGGGGGGGGGGGGTCAACATTGGGGGGGGGGACGGACACTAGTAAAAGTATATGTTTACTATATAAAATCCATCTCGTTCGGGGCAGGGGGGGGCGGTAGACTTTCTTCGGGGGGGGGGGGGGGGGGGGAGGGCTCCTAAGTGGGTAAAAAAATAATAATAATATTATCAACAGATTAAATGTCACACAAACTGTTCGATGTGTTCAACACTTTAGTAGGTCAAACATTTTTTTATCAACAGATAAGTGAGTCACGCAATCTTAACAACACATAAATGGTCACAAGCGCGTAATGATCACTATTTTAAAAATAATGATTTTTTAAATTGTATTCATCATCACTTTTCCCTTTTGTGCATACGGGGCATCTGTTTCAATGACCTCGGCATACAGGAGAATATTTTTGGCAAAAGTAAGCCCAGCCGCCTTTATTTCCCCTAACGTGAACCGTGTGCTCGTCAGTGACTCAATGACCTCTTACAGTCTTGAGACCGGG